ATGGTCCCTGGCCAGAAATGATACCAATCACCAAGACTCCTGACAGCTAAATACATGCTGAGTCTCAGAAGGGGATGTCCATTACTGTTCCCTGAGGTCCCAGTTGGGCAGCCACATGACTTGTCCCTCTCCCAACCCCCACATCTGTGATGTCACAGTGACCTCCCACCACCACCCTGTTGAAGGAGAGACTCGCCTAAGGAGGAAGGCAGGGGTGGGGATATGTGCCCCCTTCTGCCTCTGGGAGGGGTGAATGCAAGCAGTTCATTCCGAGAATAATGAGAAGATAATTTGGCAGTAAGATGACAGTGTTTAAATGTGCCATCATGCCTACAATTCCATAATCGGTGATTTATCCCAAAGAAAATCTCCTATGTGTTCATAGATGTGTGAGATGGAGGCTGTTCATTAAAGCATTGTTTGTAGGGGAACATTAGAAATAGCTTAAAGTTCATCTTAAGGAAATGGTAAATCACTTATTTCATCCCTGTTGTAGAAGAGCTCACAGGCATTCAGAACCCTGGAGAGTGATGTGGACTTTTATGGAAGGAAATCCGTGCTATATGGAAAGTGAGTGAGTTGCTAAAATGTAGGGTGTCATCCTATGTTTGTAAAAAGTTTAGAAATAAACGCTCACAGGCCGGGCGCGGTGGCTCAAGCCTGTAATCCCAGCACTTTGGGAGGCCGAGGCGGGTGGATCACGAGGTCAAGAGATCAAGACCATCCTGGTCAACATGGTGAAACCCCGTCTCTACTAAAAAATTACAAAAACATTAGCTGGGCATGGTGGTGCGTGCCTGTAATCCCAGCTACTCAGGAGGCTGAGGCAGGAGAATTGCCTGAACCCAGGAGGCAGAGGTTGCGGTGAGCCGAGATCGCGCCATTGCACTCCAGCCTGGGTAACAAGAGTGAAACTCCGTCTCAAAAAAAAAAATAAAAAATAAAAAATAAAATAAACGCTCACACAGAGGAAAATGTCTACAATGTGATACAGTGATCTGACAGTGGGAGGTAGAATAATGGAAGGCTTCACTTTCTACTTTATCCATTTCTGTATTTTGTGGGGGATTTTTCACTGGAAGGGTAAAGACATGTTGTTAAATGTTGAGTGAGTTATTTCCATGAACAGAAAGAAAAAAAATGCCTCTAATCCTAGCACTTTAGGAGACTGAGGTGGGTGGATCGCTTGAGCCAAGATTCAAAACTAGCTTGGGCAACGTAGTGAAATCCCGTCTCTGTAAAATTAGCTGGCTGTGGTGCTGTGCACCTGTAGTTCCAGCTGCGCTGGTGGGAGGATCACCTGAGCCCAAGGAGGTTGAGGCTGGAGTGAGTCATCATCCCGCCACTGCATTCCAGCCTGGGCAACAGAGTAAGACCCTGTCTCAAAAAAAAAAAAAAAGAAAAGAAAAGAATAATAATACCCATTACCATTTCTAATCACTTACTGTATGCCATGATTCTGTTTAATTCTGAGGCTATTTTTTTTCTTTAATAAGCTTTTTCTGGCTGGGTGCAGTGGCTCACACCTGTAATCCTAGCACTTTGGGAGGCTGAGGCAGGTGGATCACTTGAGGTCAGGAGTTCAAGACCAGCCTGGGATTATAGGCATGTGCCACCATGCCCAGCTAATTTTTGTATTTTTAGTAGAGATGGGAGTTTCACCATGTTGACCAGGCTGGTCTTGAACTCCTGACTGAGGCAAGAGGATTGGTTGAATATGGGAGGCTGACACTGCAGTGAACCATGATCGTGCCACTGCACTCCAGGCTGGGTGACAGATAGAGATCCTGCCCCCACCACCAAAACAAACAAGCAAACAACAAACAACCAAACTTACCCAGATACCCTTCCAGCGATTCATTTATTTTTTGAATGCCCTCTATGCTGGGCACTATTTTAAACACCATGAACAAAACAAAGATCCCTGCCCTTGTGGAGTTACATTCAAGTACAGGAGATGAGCAAACAATAAGAATGACAGATGATACTGATGATACAGATGATACAGATAAATGATACTGTATATTGAAAGGAAAACAGAAAAAGTAGGGCACAGTGAGAAGCATTGAGCTTGTGGAGGTGACTGGGATGAGTGGCAATTTGGGGTGCTCAGGGCAGGCCTTGTTGAGAAGGTGACATTTAAGCAGATCCTGAAGGCAGTGAGGATCTCCTGAGGACATCAGGGAAGAGTGCTCCAGACAAGAGGAACATCACCTGCAAAGGCCCTGGGGTGGGAATGTGTCCTTCTGCTGTGCCCAGGGAACAGTAAGGCCAGCGTGGCTGAGCAGAGCAAGATGGGGTTTGGTAGGAGATAAAGCTACAGAGGTGGCGGGGGGGGGCATCACATTATAGGTGGCTTTGTCAGTCTCCCTGAGGATTCGACTGTTACTCCAAATGCAGTGGGGACCACAAGAGTGACATTCTTTGTCTTAAGCACCCCGCTGTTCCTGTGCTGAGAAGAATGTAGGGGCAGAGGTGGAGGCAGGGAGGCTGTGGCTGTCCCACAGGCAGGAGGCCATGGAGGCTTACACCAGGGGGGTAGAGGAGGCTGGTGAGGAGTGGTCAGAATCTGGCTGTGTGTTAAAGATGGGGCCAGCAGGACTCACTAGCAGTCCGGATGAGGGGAGCGATAAGGAATGAAGAGTGAAGGTTGCGTCCGAGACTTTGGCTCAAGCACCTAGAAGGATGGCATTGCCACCAACTCCAGTGGGTGCAGAAGGCTTGGGAGGAGGGTCCAGAATTCAGACATCTCAGTAGAGGTGTCCAGTAAGTAGGCAGCTGAATATCGAAATGTGACACTTAGCCTGGAAGTGATATATTTGAGCATTGTCATTGTTTACAGTCAGGAGACTGGCCAGTCTTTTAGTTTTTTGCTGCTGCCGTAACAAAGTAACGTGATTTAGTCTTTTCGCTGCTGCTGTAACAAAGTACCATGAACTTCATAACTTAAAGCAACAGGAGTTCATTAAGGGTTTTTTCCCCCCTCTGTCTCCCAGGCTGGAGTACAGTAGCACAATCATAGCTCATTGCAGCCTTTACTTCCTAGGCTCAAGTGATCCTCCCACCTCAGCCTCCTTGAATAGCTAGGATGGAAGCTGGCTCCATGCCAGCTACCTTTTTCTTATTTTATTTTATTTTTTTTGTAGAGATGGGTCTCCCGGTGTTGCCCAGGCTGGTCTCAAATTCCTAGGCTCACACGATCCTCCCACCTCCCAAAGTGCTGGGATTACCAGCATGAGCTGCCATGCCCATTCTATTACCTTATAGTTCTATAGGTCGGAATTCTAAAATGGTCTTAAGGGGCTAAAATCAAGGGACCAGCAGGATGGCATTCCTTTCCAGAGTCTCTGGGGGAGAATCTGTTCTGCATGTTTTTATTTTTTCCCTGTGTTTCTAGAGGCCTCCTGCATTCCCTGGCTCATGGCCCTTTCCCCGTCTTCAAAGTCAGTAGCATAGCATCTTCCAGCCTCTCTCTGACTCTGGCTCTCCTGCTTCTGTCTTTCCCGTATGAGGCCCCTTGTGATGACACTGGACATACTCAGTTAATTCAGGATGATCTCCCCATCTCAAGGTCCTTCATTTAATCATTGCTGGATGGTCCCTTTTGCTATGTAAGGCAGCTTATTGACAGGTTCTAGGGATTTGCACATGAGCGTCTTTGGGGTCATTATTCCACCTACCACAAGCACCAAGGGGGCGATGGAGAGGAATAGAGTGTCTAGGACCAAGTATTAAGAAGTCAGGAGCTGGCTGGGCGTGATGGCTCATGTCTGTAATCCCAGCACTTTGGGAAGCTGATGTGGGTGGATCACTTAAGGTCAGGAGTTCAAGACCAGCCTGGCCAACGTGGTGAAACCCCGCCTCTGCTAAAAATACAGAAATTAGCTTGGTGTGGTGGTGTGTGCCTGTAGTCCCAGCTACTTGGGAGGCTGAGGCAGGGGAATCGCTTGAACCCTGGAGGCAGAAGTAGAAGTGAGCTGAAATCATGCCACTGCACTCCAGCCTGGATGACAGAGCAAGACTCCAACTAAAAAAAAAGTCAGGAGCTCAAGAGTTGGAGATCAGCCTGGCCAGCACGGCAAGACCCCATCTCTACAGAAAATACAAAAAAAATTAGCCAGGTGTTACACCTGTAGTCCAGGCTACTCAGGAGGCTGAGTGAGCTGAGATCGTGCCACTGCACTCCATCCTGGGTGACAGAGCAAGACCTGTATCCAAGAAAAAAAAAGTCAGGAACTCAGGAGGAGCAGCTAGGGGGGTAGGAGGAACCAGGAGACCTGGGTCCAGGAAGATCAGTGGATAGAGGGCACACGGGAGGGGGTAAGCAGCAGCTGTGTCAGTCACGTCAGAGGTGGACTCAGATGTCACCCATGGACGTGGCAATGTGGCAGTAACTGGCGACCTTCAGAAGAACGGTTTGTGTGTAGCAGTGGGGGCCAGGCAAGCCTTGAGGGAGTGGGATTTATTTATTTATTTTATTTTTATTTTTTGAGATGAAGTCTGGCTCTTTCACCCAGGCTGGACTGCAGTGGTGTGATCTTGGCTCACTGCAACCTCTGCCTCCTGGGTTCAAGTGATTTTCCTGCCTCAGCCTCCTGAGTAGCTGGGACTACAGGTGCCTGCCACCACACCCGGCTAATTTTTATATTTTTAATAGAGAGAGGGTTTTATTTTTAGTACAGACAGGCTGATCCCCATCTTCTGACTTCAATGATCTGCCTGCCTTGGCCTCTCAAAGTGCTGGGATTACAGGCTTGAGCCACCACGCCCGGCCTGGGGGTGGGATTCAGAAGGAACACAGGGAGACAAGTTGGAGAGAGCCAGGACTGGCCGCTCTTTCAAGGACTTTCACTGCCAAATAGAAACAGGAATGTGGCTGGCCGCATAAGTGGGCTGGGAGAAGGTTTGGTTTAGTTGGGGTTTGGTTTCCAGTGGGACAGCAGAGCGGGATTGTTTGCTGGTGGGAATGTGCAACAGCAGAGAATGACAGATCATGAGGCACTTTCGTGGCTCCCAAGCACAATAGTCGGTGTTGATGAGCGTGTGTGAGATGTGCCTTCCTCAAACCTTCTTACAAGGTTAGCATATTACTCACCTGATGTGAAAAAGAAAAAGAGAAACACATGAGACTGAGGAGGGAGTTGATTGATAGATAAATAGCTTACACCACACTTCTGCAACTTACTTTTGTTCACTTAACCACATATCTCAGCAACATCTCCATGGCCAGTATGGCACCAAGCAGTTTCTGCTTGCATAAATCTACCCTCTTGATCTGGGCCATCCAATAGAAAGGTAATGCAAGCCAGTCCGGTGAGCTGGGTCATGCCTGCAATCCCAGTGCTGTGGGAGGCCAGGGCAGGAGGATTGCTTGAGACCAGGAGTTTGAGACCAGCCTGAGCAACATAGTGAGGCCCCATCTCTACCCTCCTCCCTCACAAAAAAACCAGGTGTGGTGCCATGCTCCTGCAGCCCTGTCTACTTGGCAGGCTGAGGTGGGAGGATCACTTCAGCCCAAGAGGTCGAGGCTGCAGTGAGTTATAATTGTACCACTACACTCCAGCCTGTGCAACAGAGTGAGACTCTATCTCAAGAAAGAGAGTAGAGAAAGAAAGAAGTATAATACAAGCCACAAATTTGGGCTGTATGTCATTTTGGTTTTTCCAGTAACCACCTTTAAAAAAGGTGAAAAAGGAAAGGTACGGTGTTTTAATGTTTTATTTAACTCAGTCTATCCGAAATATCAGCTCTTCAAGTTGTCAATATAGAATGACTGAGATACTTTACATTCTTCTGTTCATTGCATGTCATACTTAGAGTACATCTCAATTCAAACAGGCCACTTTTCAAGTCAGTTGCCACATGTGGCTCAGGGCTCTGCGGTGGTCAGCACAGCCCAGAGGAACTCACATAGATGAGCAGAGGCTACATACAGGACAGATGATCACAGCACTGCTGGTATAACCATAAAGCTAGAGCCAGCCTCGCTGTCCCGTGGCATGGGGCTGACCTATACATCATGGCTTTTTGCTTAAAAAAAAAAAAAAAAAAATTAAAGGAAACAAACATTCATTTTAGTTTAATTCATTTATTTAAATGAAAAATAAAATTTTTTTTGAGACAAGGTCTCACTCTGTCGCCCAGCCTGGAGCGCAATGGTGTGATCTCGGCCCACTGCAGCCTCTGCCTCTCGGGCTCATGCAGGCCTCTCGCTGGGACTACAGGCGTGCGACACCACACCCAGCTAATTTCGTTTATTTTTTGTAGCGATGGGGTTTCATCATGTTGCCCAGGCTGGTCTCGAATTCCTGGGCTCCAACAATCTACCCTCCTCAGCCTCCCAAAGTGTTAGGATGACAAATATAAGCCCCTGTGCCCTGCCTGAATTATTTTTAAAAGAGCATGTGTCGATTAAAAAGTATTTTAATGAAGCTGCTCAGGTATTTAAAGTATCTCACCTCCAATCCCTGGCTTAAAATAGAAAACAATTGCAGTGTATTGGAAGCCCTCATTTACCCCTTCCTCCTGTCATTCCCATCCCTTCCTCTCTCCCTGGACACTGGTGTTTATCGTTTCTAAGTTCATCTTCATGTGCGTAAGTATGTGTCCCCAGACAATCACAGTAGTGTTTTGAGGTGTTGAAAGCTTTGTGCCCCCAAACAGTGAGAACAGTTTTGGGGGGGTTGAAATCTTTGGCATCACACTGTATGTCTTGCTGGCTGGGCACAGTGGCTCATGCCTATAATCCCAGCACTTTGGGAGTTGAAGGCGGGCAGATCACCTGAGATCGGGAGTTCAAAACCAGCCTGGCCATCATGGAGAAACCCCATCTCTACTAAAAATACAAAATAAGCCTGGCGTGGTGGCTCATGCCTATAATCCCAGCTACTCAAGAGGCAGGAGAATCGCTTGAACCCAGTAGGCGGAGGTTGTGGTGAGCCGCTGTCATGCCACTGCACTCCAGCCTGGGCAACAGTAGTGAAATTCTGTCTCAAAATAAATAAATAAATAACCTGCTTTGTTGCTAAGGAGTACCTGGGTAAGATTTATCCTGTAGACATGTGGATGAAGAGAGAGGGCTTGAGCTTCTATTCACCTTGTTACATAGTAGTAAGTTATGTAACAGTAATCTTTATGCCCTGCCTTGTAACTGTCTTGATTGCTTGTTACATAGTAGTAAGTATGTAACATAGTAATCTTTATGCGCCTGCCTTGTAACTGTCTTGATTGCTTCTTGTTTTTGTGGGTTTTTTTTTTTTTTTTGACAGAGTCTCACTCTGTCACCCAAGCTAGAGTGCAGTGGCAGAATCTTGGCTCACTGCAGCCTCCACTTCCTAGGCTCAAGCGATTTTCGTGCCTCAGCCTCCCGAGTTGCACATGACCAATTTTTGTATTTTTAGTAGAGACAAGGTTTCACCATGTAGGCCAGGGTGGTCTCAAATTCCTGCCGTCAAGTGATCCACCCACATCAGCTTTTCAAAGTGCTGGGATTATAGGTGTGAGCCACTGTGCTTGGCCTTCGTTCCATTTTGACTGACACTTGGGCTATTTCCAATTTTCTGCCATTATAAACAGTGTTGCTGTGGCTAGAATTTCTCTGGAATATATTTAGTGGACTAGCACTTCTCAAATTTTAGCATGTACCAGAATCACTTAGAGGGCTGGTAAAGACACAAGGTTCAATCTAGAATCCCACATTGCATTTATGCTATTCCTTTTGTTTTCTTTTTCTTTTAAAAATTAAAAAAGAAAGAAAGAAAGAAACAGGTTCTCACCATGTTGCCCAGTCTGGTCTCAAACTCCTGGGTCCAAGTGACCCTCCCACCTCAGCCTCCAAAAGTGCTGGGATTATAGGCATGGGCCACCGTGACCAGCCCTATTCCTTTAAAAATTATTAATAATGAGCAAACCTGGAAAAGACCCCATACATCCAGATGTGTTCAGGTGAGGAGTATTAGGGAGGGCCATGAGAGGGGTCAGCATTTTGACCCGGCCTTGCTTGGGCCCTGCAAGGACCTGTGGGACCTCCAGGCCCCTCTCACCCCCAGCCAGGGTGGCTCCTCTCCACACCCAGCTGGATGGAGTAGGTGACCTGTCTATACTGCTGTCCCTGTAGGCACTGTAATTAGAGACATCAACTGGAGTTCGGCATCTCCATGACCTAGTAGAGTTCCCGGAAAGAGTCTCAGGCTTCCCCTATGTGGAGGAGTCTGGGGTGGGGGTGAGAGGCTCTGAGGGGCTGCACTCAGAACCTGGGCCTTTCATTCATTTGGCAAATCTTTTTTTTCTTTTTCTTTTTTTGAGACAGAGTTTTACTCTTGTTGCCCAGGCTGGAGTGCAATGGCGTAGTCTCTGCTCTCCACAACCTCCACCTCCTGTGTTCAAGTGGTGATTCTCCTGCCTCAGCCTCCCGAGTAGCTGGGATTACAGGCATATGCCACCACACGCAGCTAATTTTGTGTTTTTAGTAGAGGTGGGGTTTCTTCATATTGGTCAGGCTGGTGTCGAACTCCCGACCTCAGGTGATCCGCCTGGCTTGGCCTCCCAAAGTGCTGGGATTACAGGTGTGAGCCACCACTCCCAGCCTGGCAAATCTTAAATGTCCCAAGTATCCACCAGCCCTTTAGCTGGTGCTGGGGGTACAGTAGAGAGCCTGACACTCCTAGGGGGCTCCTCATCAAAGGGGAAGCCTACAGTAAACAAAGAATTACACAGATAAACATAGGTGTGGGCCTTGGAGTAGGGTTTTGAGGAGTGAGTAGAAATTTACAAAGCTGCAGAGGAAGGGGAAGGACTACATTATTCATAAAAATCTCACTGGAAACAAAAAACCCTTTGGGGGTTCCACTGTCTCTTGTCAGACTATCCAAATATCATTGCCAGGAAACTCCAGCAGGCCCCCACAGCAGAGCAGTCACTCAGAGCCAAATAACTTCAAAAAGTAAAATGAGAAAAGCCTCTCTGAAAAGTATTTTTATACCTCAAGTCTACATTTAATGTGGCCCATGGGTGTGTTTTGTAGGTTTGCTCTGATGTGGAGTGGGGCCCCCCAGGCAGTTGTACCAGTCACACCTCTGAGCTCCTAAAACAGCTCTGGCAGCCAGGCAGGAAAACCATGGTCAGTCTGTTATAAAGTTAAACATTCACCTGCACTGAGACCCAGCAGTCCCACTCTCAGGTATTTACCCAAAAGCAAAGAAAGCATGTGCCCATCAAGATCTGTGCACAGATATTCATAGGAACTCTGCTGCTAATAATCCCAAACTGGGAAGCGTCTCAAATATCCATCAGCAATGAGAATGGGTAAACAAATTGAGGTGCCTCCATACAATGGGACACTGCTCCCCATAAAACATTGCAAACCATTGCACACGCCACGTCATGCATGGCTCTCATGCGTTGCGTTGTGTGAAACAAACCAGACAAGAAGGGACGCGTCCCAAGTGACTGATTGCTTTATGTGCAGTTTAAGAGCAGGCAGATCTCACTGCTATTTATAGACAGCACAGCAGAGGTTACTGCTGCTGGCGGGGTCGGGGTGGGGGCCAGGAGGGCACTTGTGGACTGGGAAGGTACCCCAGGGAATCTTCTGGAGGCTGAAGTTGCCCTTGATCCTTATTTGAGTGGTGACTGTATAGGTATAAAAAGTGATCAAGCTGGACACTTAAAGTCAACATCATTTATGTACTTTCACATGTAAATATTATTCCTCCAGAAAATAAAAACAGCCTCAGTCTTCGCTTCCCCGAAGACTCCCCTGCACCACCACCCCCCACCTCTTTGCCTTGCACCGGTACTGTAAGGCACTTGCTTGACGGGAAAGAGAAACTCGGCCGCCAGCTGGGGTTCATTTGCACTTTCCTCGCCGGTCTGCGGTCTGGTTGTGCAGCTGGCCGCTCCGACGGGGAGGAGGGGCCCAAAACCACTGGCTGCCTGCCTGGGCAGGGCAGAGGGCACGTGAGGCTCATGGCAGAGGCACAGCCAGCTTCTTGCATGTGCCCTCCTGGGGAATGGCTGCGGAGCCTGAGATTGCCATGCTATGGACACAGCCCTGGCAATAAATGGCCACTTGCCCGGTCATCATGCTCTGCTTCTCAGCCG